GTCCATTCATTCTTGACACACACACACCCCCCAATTCTTTAATACTAAACTTGGAGCAACTGAATTGGTTACAAATGACCCATTTAAAACCAACCACCATTTGCTAAAATAAGTTTCTACAAATTAGATTTTGTACTGTCACAATTTACCAGCTCCTGCATCATGGAGCGTAGCTTATTCTTAGTCTATTTTAAAAATAGGTGACCCTTTGTGTCATGGAAAAAGAACATAAAAACATGTATTTCTGGAGGACTACTCAGGACACTGATCAATTTATAAAATATAGCCTGATTAAAAAAATTAATTGGTACCAAAAGAATAGATGTAAGTTTCTGACACCAGCAAACCTTTCTGCATCTCTGATCTCTAACTCTCTCTTCTCTTTACAGGTCTGTTTCTCTATTGGTGTCCAGACAGAGAGCATAAAGGGATTTTCTGAGATCTACGGTGCTTTTTGCTTTGATATTGGTTTTCTCTACGGAGCTAGTGCCATTGTTGAACCCCTCACTGTTTTCCAAGTGCACAACAGATTTGTTCAGAGAGTTTCTACTGGATCTTCTCTTTGCATCTCCCCCTGCTGTGCTGCCCTGAGCACTACTGTGTTCGTCTTTGAGGATAGCCTGCTCTTCATGGTCAGTCTCTCGGTGGTAGAAGTAGTTGAAGTTGGACACGATGACAGGGACAGGGAGGGCAATGGTCAGCACACCCGCGATGGCACACAAGGAACCCACAATCTTGCCCCCCACAGTGACAGGTCGCATATCCCCGTAGCCTACAGTGGTCATGGTTACCACTGCCCACCAGAAAGCATCAGGGATGCTGGAGAAATGAGACTCCGGGTCATCGGCCTCAGCAAAGTAGACAGCACTGGAGAAGAGGATCACCCCAATAAAGAGGAAGAAGATAAGGAGGCCTAACTCCCTCATGCTGGCTTTCAAAGTCTGTCCCAAGATCTGCAGCCCCTTGGAGTGCCTGGAGAGCTTGAAGATCCTGAAGACTCTGACCAGGCGAATGACTCTGAGGATGGCCAAGGACATGGCTTGCTGCTGGCCCCCGCCACCATTGCTGCTGCTCCCGGGCTGCTGCTGCTCATGGGCCAGCTCAGTGCCCAGGGTGATGAAGTAGGGGATGATGGCCACGATGTCGATGATGTTCATGATGTTGCGGGAGAACTCGGGCTTGCTGGGGCAGGCGAAGAAGCGGACGAGGAGCTCAAAGGTGAACCAGATCACGCAGGTGGTCTCAATAATGAAGAAAGGGTCAGCGAGGCTACTGGGTGTCTGCATGGGTGGGGAGTCCCCGATAGTGCCATTCAAACCTCCACTTTGTGGGGGCAAGGGCATAGGCATCTCCCTCTCATCCCTGAATTCCGGCAGGGTCTCCAGGCAGAAGGTGATGATGGAGATGAGGATGACCAGCACGGAGACGATGGCGATGGCCCGGGCTGAGCTGGAGCTCTCGGGATACTCAAAGATGAGCCAGACTTGGCGTTGGAACTCGTTGCGGGGCAGGGGCTTCTCCTCCTCTTTGATGAAGCCCTCGTCCTCCCGGAAGCGTTCCATGGCCTCCTCACCCAACTGGTAGAAGCGGATCTCGTCGGCGAAGACGTCGATGGAGACATTGACGGGCCGGCGGAGCTTGCCCCCGGACTGGTAGAAGTAGAGGATGCCATCGAAGCTGGGCCGGTTGCGGTCGAAGAAGTACTCGTTGCGGAGGGGGTCGAAGTAGCGCATGCGCTTATCGGGGTCCCCCAGCAGCGTGTCGGGGAACTGGTTGAGGGTCCCCAGCTGGGTCTCGAAGCGCAGCCCCGAGATGTTGATCAGCACCCGCTGGTGGTGCATGGCACCCCCGTTGGCCGCCGCCGCCCCCTCCTCCTCCTCCTCCTCCTCCTCCCCCCGCGCGCAGCTCCGGCCCCACCCCACGCCCGCGGTGGGGCGAGGGGCTCGGGGGGGCGGCTGCGGGGGTTGAGGGGTTCCGCGGGCAGCCGCTTGGCCTGCGGGGTTGCCCCCGCTGCTGCGGCGCATCCCGCAGCCTCCCCGGGGGAGCGGCGGGGGCCTCTCCCGCTCCTCGTCCGCCGGTGGCGACGGCGGCGGCGGCGTTGGCGGTGGCGGGGAGCCCTCCTTGCCGTCGCTCAGCCTCGGCGCGGCGGCGGAGCCGGCGATGTGGAGCAAGTCGCTCCTCCGCCGAGCCCGGGAGGGGGTGGTGGTGGTGGTGGTGGGGGTGGTGGTGGGGGCATCCTCGCCGCCCGCGATGGCCGGGGCGC